TGGCCTTAGGCACGCCAGTGGCCCTCTCTGTGGCTCAACTTTTCCTGCTATCACACGGGGGATAGTCATACGTTCCCTCCCTATTTTACAGGGGCGTTGCAGGATCAGAGGTGATGACAAATGTATGAGAAGCATGTTGAAAAATACAACACGCTATGCAAATGAGAGGGATTATCAAATCTCTGACTTGAGTTTCCTCCTCAGTGGGCTGGCCTTCCTTGAAACAAGGCAACTTATGCAAAAAACCTGGCACACAGTAGGTGGACAAGCTCTGGGAGCGGTCCCAGGCTTATGCCTTTGATCTTGTGTCTCTTCTCCTCTGCTCTGGAAGATCCAAAATCCTCCCCACCTATCTCACTGCTCCCTCTTCCCTCCAGTACTCCTCTTAACAACATCCGGTTACTCCCCAGACTTTAGGCAGGTCAGGCTCCTGCTTCCTTTCCTTCATCGCTGTCTTTCTTTGCCTAATGTTAGGTGTTTGTTTTTGTGGTTTTGTCTGTCTTCCTGCCACTGAAATGCAACCTGCATGATGGCAGGGATGACCTCGTCGTCTTGTTTGCCTAGGACAAGGCCTGGCACATAGTAGTTACTTGACAAATATTTGTTAAGATCAGGGATGGAGGGTTGGATGGATGCCACCCATATTTATTGGGTTTTTCCTCTCTTCTGTGTCCCTTCTTGGAAACTAGTTGTCGGTGGAAAAGTGACTAGTTGTGGAGTTAGATCCCAGGAGGGCTGGCTTTGTAACTCACTTGACCAGTCCCCTGGAACAGGTCACCTAACATCTGTGTTGTCTATTTCCTGGTCTGTAAAGTAAAGATAATAACACACCATGTATGTTGGGAGGCCCCATGAGATAATGAACGTGAAAGTCAAGGCGAGGGGTTATTACACTGTCTCTTTTGTTTTTGACACAGAACCTTGTTCACAGGAGGCTTAGGGAGGATGTTAATTTAAGAACCTCAGGCAGAGTCTCCCCTTTACTCTCATTTGGGGGGCCATGATGATGGTGATGATGATGGCCATTATTTACTGAGTGATTATTCTCTGGCAGGCTCTAGGCTAAGCACACTTCTTACGTTAATGCATTTAATTCTCCTAACAGCCCATGAGATTAGCCCCACTCCAAAGTAGCCATCCCTGGTGACTCCCTCACATGACTGTTTTAATTTTCTTCACAGCACTTATCACTGACTAAAATTAACTCATTTACTCCTTGTTTGTGGTCTGTCCTCCCCAATTAAGCTGTAAGTTCCATGGGAGCAGAGCCTTATCTGTCTTGTTCTTGGCTGATTCACCAAGGCCTAGAGAGTCCCTGACTGGGTGCACAGAAGACATTCAGGAGACCCATCTAACAGATGAGGAAATAGGCTCAGAGAGGCTAATGCCTTACCCAAGGACACACAGTTGACTTGGGTCTGTCAGGTTATGACTCTGGTGCTATTTCTTTCCATGGTGCTGCTCAGCGTTCTTCTATGCCCTGGTAGAGATCTGACATCAAGAAGGCTGCCCAAGGCCAAGTCCTCTGGCCATCCTGTCCTCCCCCATTCTCCTTCCTCCTTCTTGTAGCTGAGGAGCTCTGCCTTGGGCCAACAGAGAGTTGGTGGAAGCCCTTGAGAAGGTGACTGCACAGGGTGAGAGTCACCTTGTCTCCCCTCCTTATTCTGGCTCTGTCACCCTTAAGTAAGGCTCACTACTTGGAACTCTTCACGTCTCTCACCCACTGGGCCCTTGATCCTCAATTCCAGTGTTAAGTGAAGGATAGAAGTTCTTGGATTTCAGGATTTGGCAGATAAGTCAATGCCAGTCTTATCCATAGTCAAGACTTTCTGGAAGCCAAGTGCTTAGTCTGGGAACATGAAATTGATTGGTAGCATGAGCAGGCATGGGGACGAAGACACTAGGGCTCCCAGCTCCTGGCCAGAAACTTCCAGTCATCTTGCTTTCTTACTCAGTTCCTCCTTCCTTGTGTGGGTGGAAAATCCTTTTCTGTATGTCAGTGGACCATTTGTTCAATGTATTGCAGAGGAGGGGAATTTCCAGAATAAGAAAGGTATCCCGAAAGGAGACGAGCATGGGGTACAGAACATCTTAGAGTCCAGAAGGTCCGAGTTCAGGTTGAGCTTCTACCACCTACCAGCTGAGGGACCTTGAGCAGGTAATATTACCTGTTTGAGTCTCCATTTCCCCAGTACCTGTCTCTCAGGGCTATTGCACAGAGTCGATGAGACTGTGCAGAAAACCAGCATGGTGCCTGCCTGTGGTAAATGCTTAAGGTGTGACAGCCACTGTGTAGCAAGGACTCAGAGGGTGGGGTCCCAGCAGGGTGGACTGGAGACCCTCGTAGGCCAGAAAGGCCTTCCAGAATAACGACAAACACTGACCTTTTCTTCCTTATGGGACTTTATCACTGTCTTCTAAACTTGGATTTTTAAATACGGTAAGATAACTGATAGCTCATCGCAGCTGGTAATGGCCATTCCGCCAGAGTCAACGAACGGGCTCTAGGCCCAGCTCTACCACTGGCTTGCAGGGTGACCGTGTCTTGTATCACTTTGGGACGCTCGATGTCTGGCTCCAAAGCTGGGTCCGGGGCACAAGAATGGCTCTCCTGTATTAAGCACTTGTTATGTGCCAGTCTCCGTTCTAATCATTCTTTGTCTGGCAATGCACTCAATCCTCATACTCCTATGTGGTGGGTGCTTTTATGAGACCCCTCTTACAAATGAGGGACAGTGCAAAGCACTGGGGGTCCCAACTGATGTGGAGGGAGGGCACCCACCAGGCCTTTCCCTGCTTCTCCCCCGTCCTTTTAGTGTGGGAGTTTCCTTTAGCCTGGGGCTGGGAGGGGCCGGGGCCAGCGACCTGGGATTGCTCTGTAAATTCTTCTAACCCCCCGGCCCAGGAGGCAGCTAGGAGGGGCCTACTTCTCACTTCTCCGTCTTAATGCCCTTGATTTATTGTAACAGAAACTCGGGGTGTGCCTCCCTTTCCGCACCCCTAGCGCAGGAAGGTTTCTGTCATTTCTCTTTCCTGTGTGACAGCTCTCTCCCCCTCCCTCTCAGAGCCCTATGTCCCGCACCCTGGGGCCCAGTGTGATGGGAGACACTGTGCCCTGGATGAAGCCCCCTCCCCCTCCGCCCCGAGAGCTGCCGCCCACTGCCTGCCTGGGTGTGGTCTGGCTGCTGTTCCCACTCTGTGTCTGGGAATGCAGGCTTGAGCTGCAGGGTGGCTGGAGGGCACTTCCTGCAGCATGATTGTGAGGTCCTTGCCCACCCACTAGCCTCCCGCAGTGTCCCAGCCTAGCTGCTCCCATCTCTCACCTGCCACTCTCCACACACTCATTGCTCTAAAATGAACAGACCGGAACTTTCCCACCTCTGTGGCTTTGCTCACCGTTAGGAGCACGTTTTACAACCATGATTCTCAAAAGGTGGTCCCTAGACTACCGGCATCAGAATCACCAGGGAACTTGTTAGAAATGCAAACCCCCAGCTACCCCAGACTTACTGAATCAGAAACGCCA